GGCCCCAGGGAAACTTACTTTGTGGACGAGCTTCGTATTTAATTATGTTTCTCATGTAAATGATGCTTGTCCGTTCTGTTAAGTCGCTGTCTGTCACAAATGGTTTGCTCAGTCAGCAATGTTGTTGTAGAACTTAGGCTACTAATTATAGTATTATTAACTTACCAGTGTGAAGTTAGTCTTATTTTCAGGAAGGAAATAGTTTATATATAGAAATCTGTTTCACTTATGTTGAAGTGTAATGTAAGCTCAAAGTTTGCTTGCACATGAGGAAAGTCATTAAAATTTCAACAAGTACATTTTAGTACAGTTTCGTAGCTGTCGTCAGCGATTGGATTTTATATACCATTAGGTCTATATACCTTAAACACTGAAAAGAGTATTTTAAGCAAGACTTGATGCTCATATAGCAACTAAAATTTATAACATCTCGGGTGATAAACCGAATCAGTTTGGAAGAAATGCAGTGGGTCCATTTTCTAAGTAGCAGACTACATTTGTCAGCTATGCTTCTTCAGAACTAGAAATATCTTTCTTAAATAATACAATTGTCTTTTCAGTATTTTCCTTCGTTTGTTTGACAGTAGTTTGTTTTTTCCTCCATTTGGGTCGCACAATATAATCTGATAGCGAAGTAAATGAAAAATCTGTCATTCTCTTATGGGTTGAAACTCAAGAAAATGAAATGCACTGTACACGCACTACTTAGCACGAGTTATTTTATGAGGTATAAAATTCAATTATTCATGAATATTTTTTTATCATTGTAAGAAAATCTCCAATTCTATTCCTATATGCGAGATGTTCATATAAATTGAAAGGGCGGGTCACTGTGTGACCAACGAAAATCAATCTTTTAATTTGCGGTCTTTTATTAAGTGAAAGTATTACGAATTGCAATTCAAAGTGTAAATGTTTAATCAAAGGCTGAAAGAACTATATCATAAGTATCACGTGTGATCGAAACACACTGCACACTCTCTCTGGCATCTAACCCAGGACATTACGTTTAATAGATAATTTTCTATAGTCCACTTTCAAATAAATCGGTGTTAAATTAGATAAATTTTTTCGTGACACTTCACGTTCTATTAAAGCATATGGAGTAGAAGAAGAACTAATTACTTAGACAGTAAGATGAGGTTTTAATTCGCATTTGATTTATAAGTAGTTCACAAGCAAGAAAGAAGAAAGGATTTCTTGGTCCTTCGGATGAACGTACAAACTATTCTATGCCCAAGGAAAGAAAAAGTTGGACAACCCTGGCTTAAGCTGTTATCCATCGGTTTTTAACCTTGGGTTCCGGTATTCGACTCCAAAACAGTTCTTGTAAAATTTAGAGGCGACGTGAAAGTACACTTTCTCTGCATATAATCGTCATACTTTTACATCTGTCGTTGATATTGTGTTGTGTTAATGGACTACGATATTATCTGTTCTGATATTCTTGGGTCTCACCGCTGAACCAATTCTTGAGTGCATGTAGAATATGAATGTTTGAAAGATTTTTGAAATTAAAAGAACTGATCTTATCCCTTTCATTTATTGTATTTCCTATGTCAGTTTTACAGTTTAACCAGTAATATCACATTTAATTGTAATAGATGACGTTTGTATACAGTTTAGGCCTGTTGGAATCTTAATTAGTATTCTCATATTAACATCTGAATAATAATTAATGCTGGTATTAAAAAATTATGCAGATGGATGATCTCTCAACGTCCGGAACATATAATCAGACAAGCTGTGCTATACTGCAGCTTCACGAGTAACTATCTCATTTTAAAGTATCAAACTTGACCGTACTGTATGTCAGATTGCATTTAGTTGCCTCGATGAATACAATGTGGGTGGAGAACAGAGGTGGGGTTCGGGGAATGGAGGAAGCAGAGGAAAACAGGCTGTTGAAACTCTGCATTAATTATAAAAGTCAGATAAGTTAGACACTGGCTTGTAAATGAGAGGATTTTGAACGACACGTCGCTTCGTACTTGGAACAAAAGATAACCATTCATTTCATAGAATGTGACGTGTTAGGTAACGTGTTAAAACAGTGAGAATACTAGTATAAGCATAATATTTTCATTATTTCTTTAATTCGCTGGTCTCCTATTTATGTTATGGGTAAGAGGCCCAAATTAATTTAGAAACACAACATCAAAACTGATTATCTTATTGTCTTTCAAAGCACGTAAACAAACTTCACGAATTACTAACACATATCGAATTTAGTGTTTCTTACAGGTACAAAAAAATGCATTTCCAATTTTTATTTATTTATTTGTGAAGATTCTTTATAGTGAAAGCATTTTTTTTCTGAACTCCAAATATAATACAAAACAAGAGTTTCAGGAATAATTTACATCTGCTTTTCTTGTAAAAACATTTCCATTAGAGACTACTACAAATTATGAATCAATGGTTATACAACTTAGAGGTGAATTTATGTTATTCTTTCCCTTAGCACATTTTCACACCATCTAAAAGTTATCGAACTTAAATGCAGTCTTCACGGATTAGACTATTTATCCTGTTTTGATTACTAATATATCTATTAAGTTTAATGTGACTACACTGCGTTCGCTGACAAAGTTAAACGCAACTGTCATTTCCCGGCTCCCTGCTGCAACTGCATGACTCGCCGCCAGGCGCTACAAGCTTCTCCCGATACAAAAACAATAATATGAACTTGCCGTATTTATAGAAGTTCCTGCCGGGATCCGGGACGTGACAGTTGCGTTCAAATTTATCAGCGTATGAATTCTTTAGAAGTGGCCTGTCTTTGCCGTCCATCTTTTCTAAATGTCTTGGCCATCTTGCTGAAACTTTTGTAATTGTATCGACAGATTTGTTTCTAGGCCTTTCCTTGTACCTGCACTGCAAGTATTAGGAGCGCAAGCAATGTCGTAAGAACACTCAAATCTTCTTTTTCTACTCTAAATTTATGTAGTTATTCTGAGTTTTACAATTATGGTTTACATAGCAGTGTTGTCATTAAGATAACTTCACAAAATTTAGACATTTTTCTTAAATTATTTTGCAAGGATCGTTTTCAGGTAGCTAGACAATTGTACATGTTGGTACTGATAATACTGCCAGAAGGTACGTCGTTTATTTAACAAGATTTATGAGTACTCCAAAGAAAATGAAGGTACACGATTTCTCTAATTTGAAGATGTCTGTTGTCTGGGTTGTAGCGCCGTGTAGCCTGGTAGAAGTTTACGAGCGCTGCATAACAGAAGACAATGATGTACCTACGCACAGCTGTAACTAACTGAAATCCTACTTCTCTAGTTTGTATAAAGGGTTATAAAATGTCAATTTTATATTGACTTGTTTAAAGTAAAGTGTGTTGTCTTCTAGTCTTTGTAGACATTTAATTCAAATGCAACTGTAGCCTTTTCATTAGTATTATTCTGAACTACATCTCTACTTGTATTTAAGTATTCTGAAGCTGCACTTCTACATTAAAACGAAATATGAGACATTACCATTACGTATACACCATCAGTTTCACATTGATTTAGACGAGGTTATGCTGAACTACATCGTTGTTTTGTTTTCTGCTGTTTGGTCGAATATGGCATAGTATTAGAATGTATGATAGATAATACGTACTGTAGTAATGTTTTAACTATATTATGTTTCATTGTTCCGAGGCATATTGTTCTATCTCCGAAGTAGTTTGGCTAATGGACATGAAGTGTAACGTCATTACGTATCTCGTTAATTAAGCCTAACAGTGTTGCAAACATTCTACTTTTCAGGTCTTAGATGATTTATATGCAAGACACGTTAGATCGAATGTAGCTAAAACTGAAAGACCTGGGCTAACCCACAACATTTTAAATTATGGAATAATGAAAAATAATTTTACTATCGCTCACTACTTTATATGGATGCGTGATAAATCACATGTCTTTTTTTGAATTAGATCAAACTTGGCTAACTTTATATCCATTTTTAAAGTCAAATTGGATGTGGATTAGTCGCTGTTGCCATGAGGTTTTCAGTTGACATAGGCTGACGTTTCAGGTGTCCATTTTAATGAAGTCAGGTTCCATTTAACATGGCGCAAAGATATTGTCGTGCACTCTATATTATCTCTTTCCGGAAACTTTAAACTGGAAACAAAGTACTCTCTGAGGAATATGTATTGGAACTAAGGACCTTCAGGATCAATGTAATATGTACTATGTAACGGCAGTCGTAACGAGTAATTTCAAGATTGCTCCGGGGATAATTGCATTTTGCAGTTCATGTTCACAGACAGGTGCGCATACAATAGATCCATGTGATCTAACTACAACTGGAAATATCACATACAAATGTGATTATTCACATTATCGCATATAGGTTCCACACAGACTGAGTTTGAAGTATGGAGCCTCTATCGGAAAACTTCCATTTCAATTTTTCGGATCGATTAGCATCTCCGATACTACTACTCGCGTATCTGAAAATGCTCTTTCACTAATTAATTGATACACTGAATATACGATGATTGAAATATACGTTTATGGGTTTAGGGGTGAGAAAATATTTTAGAATATCTTTTTCCAGACAAATATTCTGAAATAGGAATAGATGCGAGAATGTTCATCAGTTGCACAGGGGACATAATTTGATTATTCTTTTGTTCTGTGTAGTACTTCAGGGATTTATGAGAGTGATCATGAGAGGAACGGGTCAATCATATATTTTGATATTGAAGTACAGCATCAGATTATCTATTCAGCATTGAATTCGTTGCTTACAAATTTTGATATCAAGATGGCTTTTTTCTGGGTTGTTGCGCCGTGTAGCCTGGTAGTGCGATCTCTCTGACGGTGGAGGCAGAAAGCACTTGTGAAACGTCGGTAAACTACTGCCAGACTGCACGATTCAACAATCCAGAAGACAACCATCTTCGTATTCGCCGCCATGAGAACCAAAACTCTCTCTCCCACAGACGCGAACTATCGAGTGTGGTCTTATAGGCTTAATGTATTGTGTTTTAGGACTACGAGGTCGACCTATACCTGAGGCAGAAATGGCAGGATGAGAGACTCAAGCACTCGGAAATTACGGAAGCTTTGGATCTCAACGACCCGAATCTGGTGAAAGCTATATGGAAACCGGAAGTGTACTTCCCTAACGCAAAACACGCCGAATTCCAGTACGTCACAGTACCGAACGTTCTAGTGCGCATCAACCCAGATGGCGAGATATTGTACATGCTCAGGTAAGTCTCGAATCCAGAGTACGCACAGCTTCATGTGACATTACGGAATAAAATAATCATGTAATTCCGCTTGAGTTCAAGGAAATGTTCTGGAGGTAAATATAGATGAAAACTAATAGCATATACTACTGTAAAATGTGTGATATTAAATAATATTTATGTATGAAACAGGATCCTACGGTTTAAACACTGAGGGACATGAATGGCTTCATTTAATGCTTGGCCTGACCGTCATGTTAAAATACTCTCGATTGTCAGCACCTAAGAGTGACAAGTCTAGCCCTAAGTATGTGGCATGTAGCAAAGAGTATATGTTAAACGTGTAAACACGAAAGAAAAGCGCACCAAACTAAGAGTCAGATCTTTAAAAACACCCGCCAGGACAAAAATCTTTTCCAATGAATGTATGATTTGAGGTTTTCACAGCGGTGAGTATGAAGATTTCTGTCTTCTGGGTTGTTGCGCTCTGTAGTCTGGTCGATGTTTACCAACGTTTCAGAGGTCAGACTGCCTCCGTCATCAGAGTATGAAGATTTCTGTCTTCTGGGTTGTTGCGCTCTGTAGTCTGGTCGATGTTTACCAACGTTTCAGAGGTCAGACTGCCTCCGTCATCAGAGTATGAAGATTTCTGTCTTCTGGGTTGTTGCGCTCTGTAGTCTGGTCGATGTTTACCAACGTTTCAGAGGTCAGACTGCCTCCGTCATCAGAGTATGAAGATTTCTGTCTTCTGGGTTGTTGCGCTCTGTAGTCTGGTCGATGTTTACCAACGTTTCAGAGGTCAGACTGCCTCCGTCATCAGAGTATGAAGATTTCTGTCTTCTGGGTTGTTGCGCTCTGTAGTCTGGTCGATGTTTACCAACGTTTCAGAGGTCAGACTGCCTCCGTCATCAGAGTATGAAGATTTCTGTCTTCTGGGTTGTTACGCTCTGTAGTCTGGTCGATGTTTACCAACGTTTCAGAGGTCATACTGCCTCCATCATCAGGGCGATGAGTATGAAGATTTCTGTCTTCAGGGTTGTTGCGCTGTGTAGTCTGGTCGATGTTTACCAACGTTTCAGAGGTCATACTGCCTCCATCATCAGGGCGATGAGTATGAAGATTTCTGTCTTCAGGGTTGTTGCGCTGTGTAGTCTGGTCGATGTTTACCAACGTTTCAGAGGTCATACTGCCTCCATCATCAGGGCGATGAGTATGAAGATTTCTGTCTTCAGGGTTGTTGCGCTGTGTAGTCTGGTCGATGTTTACCAACGTTTCAGAGGTCATACTGCCTCCATCATCAGGGCGATGAGTATGAAGATTTCTGTCTTCAGGGTTGTTGCGCTGTGTAGTCTGGTCGATGTTTACCAACGTTTCAGAGGTCATACTGCCTCCATCATCAGGGCGATGAGTATGAAGATTTCTGTCTTCAGGGTTGTTGCGCTGTGTAGTCTGGTCGATGTTTACCAACGTTTCAGAGGTCATACTGCCTCCGTCATCAGGGCGATCTACCAAAGAAGAGATTTTAGCCAGAAACAATTTCATGGAGGTAATGTAGGCTACGAATTTCAGAACATAAACACCAGTACTTGAATATCTTTCGATAATATCAAGCGTAATGATGTGTGCGTAAATCCGTTTCACAGCACAAGTTCGAGATAAATTGACAGTGCAAAGGTACATTTTACTTTAAAACTGATGTTGGAAATACGGAAGAATATGGTGAATACAAATAGTATTCACAAGAACTCGCCATTGGACCCTATCTGAGCCAGTTCAGTCCAGTAATCACTCTCACACTATACTTATTCTTATGTTTCGTAGTGGCCCTCGACAAAGAAAAGAAGCCAATGCGGCCTGCAGTAATGAAAAGGTTTCCGATCCCTGTAATAACCTCATACTTCCTCTCAGGCGTATAGTTTCCCCTCAGTGGTTAATTGTAACATTAATTAAGTTTAAAGTCTGGCTAACAATACAGTGACATATTACGAGGGAAATACTACAGAGACAGCCTTCGGACATACTCCTTTTTCAATAAAAGTGACGGCCTCTGTGGTTTTCTTGCGGTTGATAACGCAGCTTCCTTTCTGTTTCAAGTAATTTCCTTGTTAGAGCGTCAGTGTTCCATATTTAAGTGGGTCCCTTGTCACTGCGGCATGGCGCATATCATGTTACGAGAAGAAAGATGGCGTCCAGTTATGGAGGGTGGCAGCGAATGTGTTGAATAAGCGATAGTAAAAGCCGATAGGGAATGGTCGTCTATCTTGGAAGTTGAGCGTGGGTTTATGTTCCCTTACTTTAAAAAAAAAAAAGTAGTTTGTCAGGAAACCGCACACAAGCATAAAAACTGAACACATTATTTTGCACGGCTTTACAAATTTATAGTAAAAGTTGGTTTCAGTTTATTTTTAGGGGTTAAAACCACTGTCATGTGCATAAAAGTTGTTTAAACATACAGAAAGCGAAGTATGTTAAATATTCAATTACAGGAAGAAACAGACATGGGTGGTCATCCAATTTTGGGGATGGGCGAAGGGTTGATAACCCATCATTGCAACAAAACCAGTATTTTACGAAGCTATATATTTGGCCTCGAAATTTGTGGGATTGTTTGGAAGAACCTTAGGATCGTGAAATGGACATGAAATTTCGAACACGGAATATCTATGTCTTTTAGGACAGGAGTAACAAGACAATTTGTGAGTTACATTTAGTGCGGAATGTACCAAAAATTGTATTGAAACGAAACTTTAATTCAAAAGCATGAAGGTTCTAGATCACTGTGGGTACCTAGGAGTAGATGTGATAAAAATATATTGGACCATAAATAAATGACAAGTGAAGAAGTCATGTGACACGGAATAAAACCTAACTGGTTCTAATGAAATATCGGATTTGATAAAAAGTGAGGCATTCATGAGAAGCTGAGCGAATGTTAGTTTCTCAAAGAGGACTCTGCTTCATGGTGTTAATTATGGGTATGAAACTTGGTTTATTACCGTAAGGGAAGAACATAGATTGAGGATATTTGAGAATATGGCGCTGAGGAGATTAATTTGATCTAAGAGATTAAAATTTCTATCGAGTAGTGTCATAATTTATGCTTCTCACAAGATATTATTATTAATAAAGTCTTCTCGGACTATCAGCCGTGTTAGATGGTGATTAATCACCGACGTTTCGAGGACCATCTCTGCCCTCATTTTCAAGGCTCTTTACTGTGTGGCTCGTAGCGCGAACAGTAAACAGCCTTGAAAATGAGGACAGAGATAGTCCTCGAAACGTCGGTGATTAATAACCATCTAACAAGGCTGATAGCCCGAGAAGACTTTATTAATGAAAGACACCGTGAAAGCTTCACATCAAGATATTATTAGTTTGATAACATTTAAGATAACGAGAAGAACAGGACGATGGAGATAAAAACTGCTTACATAGATTTTGTTGGAATATCTGACGACAACAGACTATCTGTACATCCTAGGCGTATAAAAGAATATAATATTAACAGAGGTCATAAAAAACAGGGTCTGTCGGCGTGATATGGATTCAACTGGCACAGTATCGGGTTATTATAACCACGGATTCTGATTTCATAAAAGACGAAGGCTTTAATGACCACCGGATTTTTCCTCTCGATAAGTACATTTATCCATAATGTAAGACGTTTTCATATTTTATTGTCCTATTGTCATTTGTAGGAATACAATGTGACTAATTTCACAATGGCTTTTTACATGGAGACTATGAAGTATTTTAAATGCAGTAGAAAATATGAAAAGGACTCAGAATTCCTTTGATGAGCATAATACCGAACGCTGTGTGACAGAATTACAGGGATACCTCCTGGACGACCATTCAACCACAGATGACAGTAAGGCCTTTTGTTAGGGATGTTACACGCCACTATGTGGAAACATTTATGCCGTATCCTCTTACGCTGTGACTCTTAAGTTCCTTCGAAATACTAAATGTGCGCATGGAAGCAAGGTACTGTGATTCATCATGCTTGTCGTTTCATTTACGATGCCTAAAAATAAAGTATAGGAATCCTAACTAAATACAAGAATTATAAATTAGTCCAGATTTCTCACTGTGTTTTACGGAGATAAACACTGGGCCGAACAAAAATAACTGTAAAAAAAATCGAGAGAAGTTCAGAGCAAAAGGTACCCACAGGTTTATATAGGAGGATGCTCTTTATGATTGTAACTAATTTTGACTGAGTAGTTCGAAAAAAAACTTGTATTACACGCCATTTTAAATAAAATCTGTGTACCGATTATTAACGAGATCGGAACTTACAGTATGGATAGATAAAGACAAACAACTTGACGTTTGTGTGACGTCACATTTATAGGAAACTGATAGCCATTGTACTAACGAAAAACGCACTTCATCTCAGAAAGTTAATAGCGCCAATAAAAATATAAATCTCTTTTGTCAATAAAACTGAATCTTAAAACACAGACGGAACTTTCACCTAACTCATTCTATGGACTTGATTTGAGCTGTTATCCAGAACTGAAACCTGAAACAGATGCTTTCAACAAGGCTTGGCAGCATCCCGCCGCGACCATTACGAACCGCTCGTAACGGTTGCTAATGCGCCATGTACTTTGCCCAGATCCATACCAGAGTTTTGTGCCATCATTTATTTTCACAAAGTTGATAAATTTCAATTTCATGCACTGCAGGACTTATATTGCACCGTTACTAATTAAAGCTACGTTCTCCTAACAATATTTAAAGTAACCACCCCAAGCATGAAATGTAATTTAAATATGAAATTTGCGGACGGACATACATATCTTGCCAGTACGCTTTCATTTTATGCATTACTTGTTAAAAACATAAATAACATACAGCCGTATAAGACAGGATGGACTTAATTTCTTCTTATTCTAACCTGACAAAAGAGCATCAGAGTAAGATACACAGTGAAATGAGCAATTCGCCTCCTGTGGTGCTGATGGTGGTAGTGGTGGCTTTTTCGTGTATAGAACGCGTAATCTGGTGCCCTGTTTATCCCTCACCTCCGTTTTACGGCATCTCGTCCACCATTCCCCAGTCCAGGCACTAATGTGCCACGGTGATACCTCCAGAATCACGGAGTTAAAGAAGATAGAGAATGGATTCCGGATTCTCTCGGCCCACGTTGAAGTTAGTAACAGACGTTGTTTGCACGAGTGTTAAAAGAGTAGTTTACTTTCCCTTTTACGCGTAATTTCACATTATATGTACTGGTAATTTAAAAACTGGCAACGATTTAAGACTTTTTATCGACTTTGCTACTTATATGTGTTAGTTGCGTGGATGCTGTAGTGGAAAGAAACCCCACACAAAGCACGTGTTAATAAAATTGGATTAGTATATATATTTTGAAAATTGATATCCATACATATATTTATTGAAAGAATAAATATGAAACTACACAAAACTACAATTTAATTTTGGGCATTTTACTTTTTCTGTCACAGATTACGACGACTGATAACACTACTGAGAAAGTATATGTAATAATTAAAATATATATGGAGAAAATTACATAACAAGAAACTTCATACTATGTAATCATCAACAAATATTACTAGATCATCAGATCAGAGGTGTGATATGAACGGTACATGTAGATCGTTGTTTTCCGTTAGTGGTTACGTGCCTGATACAAGGTGGATTGAAAATTGCTTACAGAAGCTATTAACTTTCTATTCTTCACTTTCGTGTGATTATTTCGTCAATTATTCTCTAAATTATTGGACGTTATAAACATGATATGCCTATAATATTTAGCGCGTCAGCGAAAAAATACTTTAATCGCCAAGAATATAAGTTTTGGTATTTGTAATAACCGTTTCGATCCCTTACAAGCCTTAGTTATGGCAAACTTGCAATGACTTAGCGTAATATGGTTAAAACTCTGTAGGTGTTAATAAGGCTAACCCTTTGGGTATTAAAAGGATACCACGCAGATGAATACTTGCGACATTATGCAGAAGGGAATAAACCAAACTGGTTTCGTTTTGGTTAGAATTTAGAATTTTTTTTTATTCCCATAGACGTCGTCACTTTCATTCATGACAAAATTATCGATCACACAGGGTGTCTAAGATATAGGTAAATTATTTGTTGATATTTCATTACAATTGTATTGATGTGAAAGAATTGCAAATTTTTTACTCTGGGTCTTGTAAATTCTTATTAAATAAAGTAAATTTTACTTAACAAATTTCTAGCTTTGTGGCCTGTTTATGGTATCACATTCGGTTAAAACAGACATGAATTATATCAGAACTTTCCTTTTCTGACTTACAAACCTTGTTTTGTAATTGACAGCTGAAAAGCAATGCTGTCTAGCAGTGTGTTTCATTCTGTGCTGAGTAGTGAAACCGTCGTACTAATCAGGAGAAACTCGGGTGCACAGTGTAAAGCTATAAAGTCTAGTGGTAACTATATGTACCATCTGCTTTAGCAACGAGTAATTCTTCCTTTTGTACACACAGTGTTTTTTTTATTTTTATATGACTATCAGAGCAAACAGCTATTATTTCCTTAAATACAATTAAGACATTTATCTGTGTAGTAGAGAGGCGATGTATTTTGTTTGAGGTAATATTACATTCAGACGCAGCCGTAAACTGTACTCAGATTTGTAACTGTCGCGTCTGCGTTATTTATATGCATTATATAATTATCATCACAGACAAGCAGTACCACTGTTTGTTTTCGACGCAAATGCAGTAAAAGGGACGTCTTTCCCTTCCCTTTGCCACATGTGTTGGGTTACCTCGCTCAGATCGATCTCGATTTATTGAATTTTCTCTCCACTTCCCCCAGTTTCCAGGTTTCTTTGCAAACAGTTGAACTCCCTTCTGACACCGAAAATAAACTTATTTAGTTTTGAAGCGTTTCTCGTCTGTATTTGCTCGTTACACTTACCCCACCCTTTTAGGAAAACACTCAACCTTCACCCATTTACTGTTAGTGCAAGAAGGAGTTAAGCTTATTTTAAAGAAGAATTGTAAGGCCTGCCGTTTAGCGTGTATAAAACAATTCTCGTACTTCTGTGGTTAGAGTGGCATGATGACTTTTGTAATCATTCCACAAAAGGCACTTGTATGAAAAAATCCATTAGACTTAAAAATACGTATGTAACTTTTAATTTAATATAATTTTCTAGAAGTATTTTTCCGTTAAATGAATAAGTTATGATGCTATAAAAATGGATAAATTAATTCAAAATGTTTGTCCGAGAGGGGCAATGTAATCCACAAGTATCACTTCGAGAAATGAATTTAGTAAGAATTCCTGGTGTCATTTTATTCCACGCCCGGGACTTACTGGACTGTTAACTTGATATATCTAGTTTTATCAGACAATAAACAAATAGTTTCGAGGTCCATCTCGAAGCCTGTTTCCATTGTTTGCATACTGCTGCTGTAACGTATCCAAACGCCTACTGCAATCTCCTTTTGCTCTCTCGGTGAGTGAAATTCTGTGTTCTTTGAGGATTGCAACTCCTTCAGCCGAAACCGTGTCTCTGTCGCTTCCTTCTTTATGCCCAATGTGCCGGAGAAGACGAATGTAAAGAATGTCGCTTCGTGAGACTTCGAATTCAGGTATAGGCCGCGATAGGTTTATTCCATACATTTTTCAGCTCATCATTCGCTTTAATTGTAGGTGTCGTGTGGAAAGGGGTCATTAAATAACCCAAGCATGAGTAAATCAAAGTTGTATTTATGACAGTGCTGTCAGACGTAGTCCTATCTTTCATTGAATCATGCGCATTTTAGAACGTTGTTGGCTTTTCATTACGGGCCTAGATTTTAAAGTAAAATTAACTCCATGGAGCAGAGTCCCTCTTGTCAAGCTAATAGTCGCTCAGCTAGTCAGTAAATATCCCGTGTTTTGTAGAATCCGAAGTTTCATCGCCGTTTTTACGAGAGCTCGCCTCTGGATTCTGTTCACGGCTACAATAATCTAATCAACAGCCTTACACACGCTTTTTCCAAGGTCCATCTTGATATCATCCTCCCACCTACGCCTATGTCTCCCAAGACGTCTATTCCCTCCAGGTTTACCGACCAATTTTGCATGAATTCCGCATCTCTTCGTGTATGCTGCATGTACCATTTACCTCGTTCTTCTTGATTTGGACATCCTAATAACATATGACAAGGATTATGAAGCATGACGTTTCTCAAAGTACATTTTCTTGATCATCAAGTCTCTTCTGTCATTGGTTATAAATTATATAATTTTTTTTCTTATTATTTTATCATAGATGACCATGGTCTTGCGTACGTCACAGCACATAGCAGCAATATTTATCCGCCTAGTTGTGTCTTCCCACGAGAGACTGAATGGTTAGAATACATTACTTAAATAAATTCCTGCCCCCCCCTCCTTCTCCTCTCCCTGTTGTGTGCGCTGGTTCTACCGTAAGTGACCATCAGGTTAAGTGCTGACACTTGGTTCATGTCCTTGTTCCTATAAACTGCGTTTACATTTCCATCTGTCGGAAGATTACGTTCTCCTTCTGACAGAATAAAAATCTGTATTATAAGAAGTATGTAAATAAGGAAGACATTAAATGTTATCCGTTAGACCATTAGATCGTTTAGAGCCTATAATTTTATATGCTTTGTAAACAGAAAATATTTCAGCGCTTTACAATATTTACGTCTGCACTAAATTTCAAAGTAAAGAATTAGGCCACTAACAAGCATCCAAAAAATAAATAAATAAACTTTGAATTTATATGTAAGTATGGAAATGTTACTTAGTTGTGTTGAAAACGTTAGGTTTCTGTCATGAAATTAGATTTAAAATATTTCTGTATCCCAAAGTTCTATTAAATTACCAACTAATTAAATGTACATGTAAAGTGTATTAATAAGTTACGTTTTGCGGTTTTTAGAACTCGCTAATAATGTGTGTTGTCTGTTACCTTTCTCACTCCCACCAAAGCCATTGCATAGCTGTGATACGCAAGGCCAGAAAAAGTTTTTGGGCTTAAGTTGACAAGTTGATGTTAGCAAAAATTGCGTATCCTGTTCAAATCTGTTTTATTCTTGCGTAGAGTTTAAATGGATTATTTGAAGACTTCAAGATTGCTTTCATGGATAAATTTCTAAACGATACGATCAATAATTAATCTTCTCAGGCCTATGCATCGATTTCGTGCAACTGAATATATCACCAACCATCAAAATTTCATCACCTGTTTTAGTAATTAATGTTTTAATTATGACAGCAATAAAAGCTGAATGGTTTACGTCATTTGTTATCGTGCATTTTTGCTTTTTCTACGCTCTGATAATCGATTAGAATATTTCTGTGTTTTTCACTCTCTGTTCATTTGTTTCAGACTGAAACTGACGTTTTCCTGCATGATGGATCTTTCGAAATTCCCCCTTGACAGTCAAGTTTGTACAATGGAAGTCGCCAGCTGTAAGTGTTTAAACTGAGCGATGCTTTTGCTACTGACTGCCAGCGATGTGATGATGATTTCTTACGTCTTTTGTGCTCTGTTTTAGTCTCGAAAACAATTGAAGAGTTGAGTCTGGAATGGAAGACAATGAATCCCGTTATCATGGGAAAAGGTCTACGTATGCCCCAATTTGAAATAGTAAAGATCGCAGCTTCTGATTGTCAGGAGTCATTCCAAATCGGTGAGTGTCGTCCTCAGAAATCATATCTAGCCGTACACTTACTGCAGTATTATTAATGGCGTCATATTGCGTGTTGCATAGATAAGTCTTATTCTCTCTTCTCTTCTGCTTTACTCTTCGTTCCGTGATTTGTTACCGTGATGTCACAAACATAAATTATGAAATACATTAACTTGCATCTTCTAAAATACGAGAAATCGTATTAATCTAACTGCTCTTAAATTTTCTCCGCTAATGCTAAAATTAGTATTTCTGTAGACAATGGAATGTGTGTGTGACCTATGGTACACTAATGATATAATTATCTGCCACAAGGAAAGTCTAGAAGTAAAGGTAATTTTAGTTTTCCTCAAATGTTATGACGGTAATAAACAACACTAATTTTCCCTCATCTGCACTTATGCCTACTTGGTTTTCATTGTCTTTTGAGTAGTGACAAATGCACCCAACGACCTGTAATCAAGTCTTTATAGCTAGAGGGAGTGAAAACTAGTAACAGTTATGAAATAATTACAGTGCAGTACGATAACTGTATGAATCGGTGGAAAGATTCAATGGGGAGGGGGAATAGGAGTTTGGATAATGTATTTTCTGGATGGCCATCGACTGTGAAGTGTATTGAGCTCAAGGACTAGATTTATTACTGTATCCGAGACAACCGAAGTTAACATTGATCAAAATTGCGTCTCAGATGAGCATCAATTGTGGAAACTATGTCCAATCAAAAATATATTATCCTTACAGAATGTAGACAGTTGGTGGGCCGTTGAAAAGTAAGGAAAAAATAAGAAAATAAGATAGGTTCAAAAAGATGGCTGTCTTCTGGGTTTTTGCGCTCTGTTTAGTCAGGTAGAAGTTCACCGACGTTTCAGAGGTGCTTGCTAATTCCAATATCAGAGCTATGAATAAGCCACGCTACAAGAATCGGTTAGAGGTTTGGGAACCAGCCTGACAAGGTGGAACTTTGGCCACCATGTGAATAAATTTGACAAATATATTTTAAAAAACAAGTAAAATTATACTGTTGTACTTTTAATACTCAGGTTTTTTATATGTGAAACGGGAAGATAAAATGTAATATGAAAGGGAGCAATCACTCCCCGAATTTAAGAGGAGACATTATGTAATCTAATTTATAACCGATGAGAATAATTATATGACTCTGGGCCCAGTTTTCTGACTAGTGAACTGTTTTACAGGTAATTACAGTTGTTTGGTCGCAGAGTTTCACTTGAGTCGCTCAGTGGGCTTTCATCTGGTACAAAGTTACCTGCCAACCATCCTCATAGTTGTTATTTCATGGGTCTCCTTCTGGATGGACGTGGATTCAGTACCTGGTCGCACCACCCTGGGAGTTACCACTCTGCTCGCAGTATCTTCCCAGTCGTCAGGTAAACGACAGAGCTGAGACACTGACCAATCAAACCCAATCTTGGTTTCTGCCCTCTCAAATGTATGAGCACAAAATCATTGAAACTGGACAAATTTTAGTGAGTTTAAAACATTTAAATGCCAGTTTAATTAGATCTTTACGTTGTTTCAAATGTGTAGCCTCCAGTCAGTAGTCACATCGGACTCATAAATATATAAAATAAAATTGTGCCTGTGGCAAGGAACCATGCCATAAAGGCGTATGGGGAAATGAAAGTAAAGCTCCAAGCATTCTGAACCTTGGTAACAAAGGTAAGTAGTCAGTTCACACGCTCATGCTGCTGTATTCCCCATTGCAGTCCACCACCAATTCCGCCCTTGTTCACGCGGCTGCGTATAGAGGTCTGCACTGGCCGGCTTCGGGCTTGGTTCACGATAACGGTGCTCAAAAGTCAAATATAATACCTAGGGTTTTCTCGTGCCTTCTTTTTCTTCTTCTTCTTCTTCTTCTTCTTTTTTTTTTTTTTTTTCCAAACAATTCACATCAACTTGATTTTCTCGGGGATTTTCGTAGATGCCCCTCCAACAAATAGTCCGAGATAATACCTTACAAATCTGGCATCCGATATCGTTTACCGTTCCTAAAACGCCAAGAAAATCTGAAACGTTCAAGAGCATCGTTATATAATTCATTCCAGGATTACTGCCACTTATACACTAAAAGAAGCGTGTTACTAACACAATAGTCAGGGGAAATTTTAAAGAGATCGGCCTTCATTCGAGCTGGAATTAAATGAAGTCGTGGTAAGGTGGGGGAAACTTCGGGCTTGAAGTGGGTGGAGCCGAATGGTCCCCGAGCCGGGCCGGGAAACATTTTAAAATTAAAATGCTCTAAGAAAAACAAAGATCACCTATTGAAGTTCCTGTTGTGTATTTTCTCCCAAACAACTTACTTCATCTCTTATATGTATACAAGTTACTTGCCTTAGCGTTTTTTAATTACCTAACATTAACTTTTTAAATAATTGCTCCCAACAGTAGAATGAATATTCCACGTATCCTAAAGCAAGTCTTAGAATTAGGATATGAAGTTCCACAGATGGTTTTGTTTTCACCAACATCGAGCCTTCCGATTGTTACCAAAGAGTTGCAGATATTCACAAACGTAAAGTGATATTACCCTAGACACATTCCCACACTCGTGTGTGCGTGTCATTTTCTTCAGTTGGAGGTATTGGGCGACTGCAACTTGAAAGGACGCGTAGTGGCTGAAACAGTAGCTTAACTGACACCACACACTTCGCTTTGAAATTCTGGAGTGTCAGATTGCCTCTTTCTATGTAAAGCTGGCCGAAAGTAGTTTACAAATACAAACTTCGGCATGTGGGTCTGAAATGTTTCGTGATGTGAATCACTAAGTACGCCTGCTACACGTCATTTAGATGATTTGCACAACAGAGAAGTCGGAGAAGTTGCCGCACCAGCACGGCGAGCAGCACTACCAACATCCGAACAACACAGAAGCATTAAATTATTTTATATTCAATATCAGGATACACAGATTTGAATTAATAAAGTGATTTTAGACTATTAAACTAAACATGTTTAAAAAAAACAACAGTTATATGTATGCATATGTCTTAACAATGTAACCATTTTATTTTCTTTTACACGTTATTTTAATTATAATCCATTTGAAATATAGTAGGAAGGGCTTCTTGGATGGGGAATCGGCAATTATCATGACAATATGAAGTGGAAATATGGTTACGTGTTGTTGTGGGATTTGAATATTTAATCACACGGTCTCCATTAAGATAGGACATACATATTGTCTTGGGTATGAAACGTTGCTTGAACTAGATATAAATGGAGCAATAATGTGTCTCAGAAACAGAAAGTATCTTCCCTGTGACTCTGCATATAATATTCTGTCAGTGCTCAACTAGAGACAGTTCGTCTGCTCTTTCTTTCCTTAAAGAAACTGATGGAGGGTATCGAGTGTTAATTTATAAGAGTTTTGTCACACATACACACTTCAAACTTGTTATAAATTACTTAATTTTGCCTCTTCATACAGCCGCTTATTTTCAAGTATGTTATTTACTGCTTAAGTCAGAATTCGCTGACTCTAGCTTTATGATGAATGTATAGACTGGTATTACATGATGTTTGTTGCACTTTGAGCATTACAAAGAGTTCTAATGTATGTATTCTGGTGTAAAGTGCTTTGCTTGTAAAAGTTAAAACTGTATCATATCAAGATTTAAAGCTTAACTGTCAGTTAAATGTTAACTGCTTTAGGGATCCAGAGTGGACTACCACAAGTGAGCTATGTGAAGGCCATTGATGTGTGGATGGGGACCTGCACTGGTGAGTTTCATGAGAATAAAATAGAAATGTAAGGCACATAGTTAATAATAAAATATTACTTCCCTAAGAAAGTTATGTCCACTTTTAGTTATAATATTTTGAGACTTTTAATGATTTTGTATCAACTATAATGGACAAATTATAAGATTTTAATTAACTATGCTCTCAAAGGAACATGTAAGGAAGAAAGCTTGTAATAGTTGATTTTAAGCTAGTATATCAACATGTTTCTGAATAAACTAGCAAAAGCCATTAAAAATCCCATCTATTTTTTTCTTCCATTCCTTATTTCTCCCTTTGTAGCTTGACCAAATTTTGAAACACGTGCTTGGTGCCAAGTGCCAAGTTTAAAAGGTATGTCTGCCAAGAACACGGACCAAGAGAGCTGGCAGAAAGTTTTATGAAGCAAACCTGTCAGAAACAGAGTAGTGACTTTCTACAAGGGAAACTGACTTATAGTGATACCTGGCAACAGCACTGTACCCCAACAGTCATGAGAGCATGGCAGCAATGTAACTTATGCAGTCTAAGCCATGGCAACTCTCTTCTGAGAAACTATCTGGGAACAAATGCCCCACAGACACAAAGGTTATTGATCTCAAACACTTTTAATATCACTGAAGTCATTCACAAAGGTCAAAGATCAAATTATTGCAAATACACTGGAATTTTTACGCTGTGTAAGCATTTCTCAAATTGCTTACATCAGTGGAAGCACGTTGTTCGCTATGTCACAAATTTATTTTGACACAGTTGTGTATCAGTTTGAGTGACCTCAAATCATCACTGAATTCTGAACATTAGTGTGAACTTCCAACAGTGAACTAGTGTCTTTAAAGTGATCATTTGTATACGTTCAGTACCCCCAATCCCTTCCCAAGAGAATCCACAATATATTCGTTATGTCAGAATTAATTGTGTTTCTTTCTATTAGTTCTGTCTTTATGTACTCAAGTATATATTTGTTCCAGCGTTTGTTTTCTGTGCTCTTCTGGAATTTACATTCGTGAATTACATGTGGCGCAAACAGCCAGTTGAGGTGTTTGATAAGAAGAAGTCCCCAGAAGCTGTCAATGGAAAAGCAGTAGATCAAAGCCCAGAAGAGCCTGACTCAGCTGTTGCAGTTACTGTGGTAACAACTCTCTCTCTCTCTCTCTCTCTCTCTCCGGTTTAAGAATATTTGTACATTTTCTGGTACCCTTTACGGGTCCCCAACTTTTCAGTTGGCTCGATCTATGGACATTCGGTAGGACTCCTTGGACGAGGGATCGACCCGTTGCAAGGCCTCTACCTGTACACAGGACAGCACAACACAGAAAAACATCCATGACTTGAGTGGGATTTGAACACACGGTCCCAGCAACCAAGCGGCACAAGACCCGCGCTACAGACCGAGCGGCCACTGTGGACCCCAAAAAAATTATTTCTTAAAACTACATATATTTCCTTAGCTAAAATATTTTAATTCTGCCTACAGAATTAAACTAAGATGGTTGTCTTCTGAGTTCTAGTGATGTGTAGTCTGGTGTACTGATGTTTCAGAGGTACTTTGACGACGATGCAGGCAGCAAGGACCTTTGAAACGTTGGTAAACTTCTACCAGACTACATGGCACTACAAGCCAGAAAACAGCCATCTTCATCTCAAAAATTAATACAAAATATTAGGAATGATAGCACCGTCATTAGTTCTTTGTTTCTTTCTTGTTTCATTCCAGAAGAAATGCGCAAGAGCAGATGATTCTATGCTTGGCTGTGAACCAAGGACAACTCACAACATGTGTGCAGGCAGTGAAACACTGCCCAAAAATAAGATTAGAGCTCGCCGTATTGATGAGCTCTCTCGGTTCTGCTTCCCCCTTACATTTGCTGTATTTAATCTCTTCTATTGGTCATACTACCTCTCCTAACTTGAACGTAAGAGCACAACCACAATTTCATCTCGAGCAACCATCATGGCTACCAAGACTACTCATATCTTCTCTGTAGAGTTTGGGTTGAAAACAAAGAAATTGCTATGGAAAATATTGTACTGAAGGGTGGTAACAACTGCAGGGCTGAAATATATAATGGTTTAGCTCACGCTATTCTTCCACTAAATGTAATAAAGATGCATATATTATCACTCTATTGGAATTAAATGAAGTCTACACATATTTTCAAACCACTGCAGCTTATTAAAACTCAAAAGAAATAAACTGAATAAATAACATTGTAACTTATAAATTTGAAAGAAAGACAATATACAATGGGTTTTATAAAAAATAAATTTTGCAAACATGTATATCAAATTTGGCATTTTGATTTTATACAGAATTAGCTTTAAAAAGTTATGAAACATACGTAATGTAATGTAATAGCTGACTCTGAGTCAAACAATCAAAATCAAGCAACCAGTCAGGTCAAAGAACCTAATAAATATGATGCAAGAATAATATAAATTATATTAAAGTACTGGTAATTGTCTTCAAATGTGTAAACTGGTTTTTGAAGAATAGGAGTATTCAAGCTGATTGCTTATAATAAAAATTGACATATATTATCTCCTTAAAAAACCAGAATTTATGAATGCATGGATATAAAATGAGAAAGGTGTAAGCATTAAAATAAAAGACTAATTTCAAGTCTAAAATTAGCAGTAGCTGTGAAAGTTAGTATGATTTCCCATCATTACTTTTCATACTGCCCATTCAGGATGGACACAGTGAACTGATTATAGGTGCAGGTAATATTTCAGCTCCTTTTGTTTACTCATTTGAATACCTTATAAACAACTGTATGGAATTCTGTATCTGAAATGTTATCATCGCATAATAATAAAAATCACTAATCAAAAGAGTGAGTAAATTATAACGTAAAATATCTTTTTTGTATTGTCAAGGTTCATGTGTTAAGAATTGTGAGAATGCCTATAAGAACAGTTTCATTAATTTTTAAATAGCGGTAGCTAAGATCGTTTTCTATTGCAACCAAACATATTCTGAATGTTCCATCTTACTACAGAAGAAGTGCCTGAAAAAATTTGAGTCCTTTGACATTTTAAGATAGGTCACAGCATTATTCTACAATCTGCCAGAAATTTTTGTCACATTTATTTTAAGGCTGAGATGCTAGGGTAACTAAAAGTGGGAAGTATACAAAAATGATTGAACTCATTGTCAGATTCATTACATCATCCTTAATTATGTAAAAATACTTATAGAAACTGGTCCACACATTGTTGTGTTACATTTGTGTTTTGTTGCTCTCCAAAATGAACTTGTATTGCTTGAACCGGTTCAGATGTAATGTACTTTACATACACTTCAAATTTTACAAGTAAATTCAGTACAGTCAGGGATAATAGATAGCTATTTTCCTCTGTTCAGTATTCATGTTACAATTTTATTATTAATATTATTATTATTCTAACTTTGAGATGATATTCTTGTATGCCAAGTAAAGTGGCAAACATTTTTAACTGTAAGTATCATTACTAAGGAAATTTAGTCTCATTTTAGACCAAAGATAGCAATGATTAAACCTCGACACAGAGTTAAGTTTATAATTATCACAGTGGACATGCAATAATGTCTGTTGTCATTCGTAGCTTTTATGGGGAAGGGTATTAAGAATACTGAAACACTTAAAATAACCTTCGTGGCTGTTAGTAAATAAATATGGAATGAACCATCAGAACAATTTTACATGTTTGACTGTTCAGTAAACTTAGATCTATTATAATTCCACACTAATCTTATAACATCCTTTCCTTGGAGAACATTAAGTACTTCTTGGCAGGTTTTCATTATTTCTTGCCAAGTTCTTTTCATGCCTTCCACTTTCTAAACCTATCCTCTATAAAAGAACTAAATGTTCACAACTCCATTATCAATATGACCCTAGATATTTTACCAGTAGACAAGACACTGGCATGAAAACGGCTAATCCGAGTCCTTAGATGGTTGTATATGCTCAATATGATTCTGATTTCTCATTATTATAAGTACCTGGATGCTTTTCAAAATGGTGCACAACATTGTAACAACACTGATGCAAGTTTCTTTCTGTATCTGAAATGTATTGAAATTGTACAGAAACTGCTGAGATACTACTTAGAAACACTTCAGAGAAAGGATTTTAGATGTTTGTTTACCAGTTCCCATGAAAATACACAAAATTTAGACATGTTTGTGACCACATAGCTTGCAACATGTATACACTTATATATCACTTTTTATAGCAGTATAGTTGCAGGTTTTAATTTATTTTTTCAGTGCTTTTAATTGTGTGTTAATTTGGTTATTATACTTAAAGTATGTTGATGAGATGATTAATGATAGGTAGTCTAATATGTAGATGACTGTGTGACTGCTTCAGACTCTAGAGCATCCCCCCCCCCCCCCCCCCCCACCAAAGTCTCAGCATAATGGCTAATTTTATTCTTGGAAGTATTGCAATTCTTTATTTTATATCCATCTGACAGATATCTTGACCAATCACTTGTAGTATCACTTCAAAATATGATGCTGATGTTATGAAAAAGTTTTAAAACCCAAGCCAATCCTCTACTCTTAGTACCTTCTTCTTCTTCTTCTTCTTCTCTTGCACTACAGCCCTTGGTGGGCTCTGGCATCCTGAACAATATGTCCCCATCTCTTCCTATCTTGAGCTACCTTCTTCCAGTTGCACACTTTCATCTTTCTCATATCTTCCTCTATCACATCAATCTACCTTCCCCTTGGTCTTCCGTTAGGTCTTGTTCCCCACAATTTCTGGTTTAATACCAAATGTGGCATTCTATCCTCTCCCTTTCTGACCACATGACTCTCCCATCTTAACCGTTGCGATTTAATATATCTCGTAACGTGCTCATGATGGATCAATTCTTCTAACTCTGCATTATATCTAATTCTATATGATCCATCATTATTCTTTAGGAGGCCAAAGTTTTTCCGTAGAATTTTCCTTTCAAAGCACATTAACTTGCTTTCTACTTGAGATGTGAGTTTCCAAGATTCTGGTCTGTACTCTTAGTACCATCACAAGTTTATTTCCACATCTAGTTCCTTATTCTATATAATTCCTCATCCACAAGCATCCAGGTCTTTATTTCATATTCCACTTCCTTTTCCCTGAAGCTTTTACAATGTAAGGAGCACACACTGTAGTGGTCATGTCTTTACTCAGTAACATTACATTGTTAATTGTTGTTTCCTTGGTAGGTGTGGACACAAAACTTTCTGTAGCAGTTATTTTGAAACTGTCAAGAAACAAATTTGCTGAAATGTGTGGATGTATAATTTCAAAGTGTTAGTAAATTAAGTATCTGGTTCTGGACTTATCTTGACAATTTCAGACTTTGTCAGATATGTTAATAAATGTTTAGTTGGATAGGATTATAAAGGTTGTGATATTTGTGCCAAATGTTTAATTATATGACATTGCATTTTAAAGACAAGACATTGGAGGTGAGATTCAGTCTATTCTTGTATGCAGTAATCTTGCCACGTTATCTGGTAGCAGTTCTAAAACTTTGCTATCAAGTTTGTTTAATTGTTAATTACAAAATTTATGAACATAAAAATAGTTAGAAATATTTTTGAGGAAATTTAAATACTGCATTGTCACAAAAGTGTGCTGTAATTCAGTCATTCATGTTCCAAACTATAAAGAACCATCAAGCATGACAGTAGAATATTGTTTCATGTACTGCATATATTTTGTGGTCACTTGAATATTGTGTTTGGAGGTTATTTTGTATCATGAAAATCGTTAAAGTTTAAAAGTCAAAAAATAATTAAATTAGAAGTTTGTATGAATATTGTGTTTGGAGGTTATTTTACATTGTGAAAATCATTGAAGTTTAAAAGTCGAAAAATAATTAAATTAGAAGTTTATATGAATATTGTGTTTGGAGGTTATTTTACATTGTGAAAATCATTACAGTTTAAAAGTCAAAAATAATTAAATTAGAAGTTTGTATGAAAACAAAGTAATGTTTTTCTTAGACTTAACTGTAATTTCATCAGAAGGTTTATGTAGAGCATATACTTTAAATTATAGACACTGCTTTTTTCTTTTTGGTAATACAGAACAGTACAGAGTACCAACACCTTTTTACTTACAACAAAAAGTCTGTTGCTAAAGATGTGAAAAGAACAAATATTACAGGCTCAGGTAAGGATAAATAATAGAATCTGGCCATGACAACCCTATCACTTGGGGTATCAGAATCTGCCCTGTGAGTACTTGGCCTCAGAAAAGGATAATACACCCTTATATAGATGTGCAGGGGTCAGCAAGGTCATCATAAAATGTCACTGGGGGTATAAGAAACAAGCCAACTAGCCAATTAGTATTAATTTGTAGTTGTACCTCAATTCTAATTTTAATTAAATCCAAATACACTATAGCGTACACTGTGTAATGATATAATTCACACTGAGAAATTATTTCCCATATGGTTTATGTAGAAGTGCTACTCAGTTAAGGAGTCTGACAAAAGAATTATAATATGTTGAATGCAACACTAAATTTTTAAAATTGTTTATCTCGTGCCAAAACCATTATTGGATTTTAGGTTGCTTATACTTGTTGTATATCATATCACTAAAAATATCAGTACTTGAGGGGCTGGGAGCACTTTTCTTCGGGAGGGCAGATTAGTAACTGCCATGGCTTAAGCATAGCATCTTGACATGATGTCACTCCTCCTTGGCACATCTGATTTTATTCTTATGGCAAATTTTGGTAGTTGAAGGTTAGCAATTGCAAATTTACATAACAAAGTATATGTGGTTATCTGTAATACAGAAATATCTGAAGATGAGAACCAGATTGGGATAAGTTTTTATGTTAAATTCACAGTTAAATAGAAAGTTAGCAAATCAACAAATCCAAGCATTGAAATATAAAAGCTTTAATTCATTATTCATATTTACTATGCTGGTATTCAGAACATAGAAGTAACAAGTATTCTACTGATACTTGTGTCTTTTTTCTCATTAATGGACAAAATTTCAGAAACTGATAACTGAATTTGCACAGGTGCTAGTGGACACATCACCATGAAAAACATGTTATGCTAGCATACATGCAGCAGTGGAGTGGAGATTTATTCAAGAATGTAGCTGTGGATACCAGTGTCCTGGGTAGTCAGTATGATAAGAGAATTGTAAATCTTACATTTTTGTGTTTTTGAATGCTTTTGTGGGAAGTTCTTAGTTCCTTATCCTAGTATATTTTGATGTGAAGAAAGAACATTTTCACTTGAAAAATGTAATGTTTATATGTAAAACATATTGCCTTCTTGCTTGAAATGGCATTATGCAGCTCTGCAGAATGCAAGGGAGAGTTATATCAAAGTAGATACTTTCTACAACAACAAAAATATAGAATCAAAAGAATTTGAAGTTGCAGTCATAGTCATAACTAGTGTTACATAAGAATCTCAAATTGGGTCAAGAGTCTGATAACATTTTATCAGTTTTATTCAGCTGAATCTGTTTCGGGAGAAATTAATCAAGTCTTCACATTTAAACTACTGATTTCCACTGACAAGAAACTACATACTCTTAACCCTTTCTGCACTTCATACAATAGACCATAATAGAATTTAATATTTACTGTCTCATTTGGCAAGCAAATCATAGTGTATAAAGAGCATTCAAATTAACCAGGCTCATGGTGTTAGGGCAGAATGAATTTAAGTTACAAGGAAAAGGATTGAAGAGAATTAATTCTATCTATTGTACGTATTTAATAACTTTAAAAAAATATTTTCTCAGAAAAATAAAATAACTTTGATATTGGATACAATGTTATTTGAAAACCATTAACCTTACATTTTCTGGTCTACCAGGGCCATCATCAGGGATATACACATTTTTACTAAAAAATGTACTGCTGCTTAATTAAGGAATAGCGTTACTATGGTAGAATATAGTTAATAATATTTATAAATTTTAGGCAAATGTAAACAGTGAAAAGTAATTTTCTGATTATTATATGAAAAAACCTTGGCAGACTTCAGAATAATATGGTTGAGAATATTATATTATGTTATATGTTTTATGTGATTTTATATGATTTTTCTTTTGAATGTTTATAGTTTTCCATAGCACTTCCCACGTCATTATTTCTTATAGGCAGTGGAGCTGATTGTATATGGTCAGTTTTGTTTTGAGTAAGGAGATTCTTGGAAATCTAGAGTGGCAGACTTTACGTTCTGTCTGGCTTTAATATTATGTAATTAATCTGTTTCTAGAAAGGCAAACTCTGTACCTTACATTTTTGTGGGACTTGCATTCCATCATTACCTTTTGGCTATGCCACCTGTTTTTGACATCACTATTTAACACCTAACACTAATGACTAAAAATTATAGTTTATTTTTCATTCAGTGAGAAATACTGTAAGGGAATTGGAAAGTAACATTGTTTTAATGATACTCCTCAGTGTATTGTAATGTTTATAACATTCAGTTACAATGTGCATAGATATAAAGTAATATGATTTTTTAAAATTTTATTTATTTTTTTACTAGAGTGCCAATAAGTGTTAAATAAGAACATCAGATGTAATTTCCCTGGGCTTATAGAAACCCCATTAAAGGCTACTGTTTATCCCAGATTCTGTTAATGACTTCTATGGACAGTGCATTCTTACTAACCAAGCCTACATTCAACAACCATGAGCTAACTTCAAAATTACTTTAGATACCAACACATTTCCTCTTATATTTTGTTTCACTTCAAATTAATTTACCTCATGTATACTGCACAACTGATTTGTAAAAATATGAGACACTTTCCTTCACTGTCAAATACGAACATCATAAATATTTTTCATGTATTTTCCACCAGTAATTTGTATGACTTCTAATCATTGAAGCCTATATTATTTAATCATAGACTAATGTCAGAATTACTGTAGCTACCGGCACATTTCCTTTACATTATATGATGTGCAGTGATACATCACTTTACACAAATATATTAAATATTTTATCCCATTAGCAACTGTGAAATACATAAAATACTGTAAATATTTTTTTCTAAATGTAGTTTATAATATGTGTGAATTTTGTGGTACAAAATGTAAATTGTGTCTGGATATATTCACTAACACTTTAATAACTGGTTACATGCTTAAATTTAACTATAGTATTTTGAACATTTGTTGCTTCTGTAATTCTTTGCACTCAATATTTGAAGCCCAATGATTTAAGTGTTTCATATAAATATATATTTCCATGGGAAATATTGAGAATGAATATACTTCTGGTCTTCAAAATAATTCCATAAACTTCAGTTTTTTTAAATTATTCTCTAGGTGACATTTTTAATGATCGGCTCGCAGAATGCGGATCGGTTAACGGAAAATGCGGGTACTACTCAGCGGGAATTGAGCTGTAACAAGTGATCTAGTGTTTACAGACATGGCTGTGCACTATGCACTACACAGAGGTGGAAATGTTAATCAGTGCCATGTACCATACTTTGGGCTAACCTTATTTGCATACTGATTCATTAAAGTATTTAATCTATACTTTGTTATGATATTATTAAGGATTATCTTTCCTGATGTAAAACACAATAAATAAAAAAATAAGTGGTTTTAATATCAATATTTTTATGAATCAAAGAAACATGGCCCTTCATATGCACTAAAAGATTAGGTGTAACAGAAACACTGGTATTGCTGCCAGCTCAGTCCTTCCAGTGTTGTTGTTGTTATAATAAAATGTCATGTAATGATCATCTCATATTAAATATGTTTCATGTTCAAATTTATGTGAAAGTACACCACGATGGACATAACTGCACACCTGAATATACAGACCTATATCTTTTTAAATTGCTACTAAATAAATACTGCTTAATTTGTACAAGGAGGTAAACACACACGTGCGCTTTTGTGTTGGAAACTGCAGAGTTACGAAAATGTTGATATTTAGTATTTTGAAAGCATTTGTTTTGAATATGAAGGGAGAAAATGGATTGTAATGCATATAACTGTCAATGATGTTGTGTTAACATGTTTCACTGTTCATTACATTTCTTGTGTATGAATACTACTTGAAGGTGATCACTGAAGACCTACATATTGTCACAAAATTAATGTTGGTGGGCTTGAATGTTTTGTGATATAAATATTTGTCACACTGTAACATATGTACTCAGTGTTTCATGAATAATCCCAGTGATTAATGTAGTTTTGTTTGCCCCTGTTCCCAAATAAATAAATCACTATTTATTGTATAAACAAATTAAACATTTACTTTTATTTTAGTTAATTAAGACTCCCCCATACCATGGTTAACTATATGATTAAGTTGAGTATAATGTAGACTTATCTTGAACTTTTTATTTCTCTAGCATCAATTTTGGACTTATTTGCTTCAGCTACTGGCAATAATTTGCTTGATATGTAATATAGCATGTAGTCATAATGAGAAAAGTGGTTCCAGCCCAAAGTTATTAAAGGTTTACCATGCCTGCCCTGAACTATTAGAAATATGGAAGAAGAACACACAGTCAATTTACTACATTAAGAACACAGTAAAAATTAATAAAGTAAAGTAAAGTTTGTCCCACTATACGCCATGTAGGCGCTTGGGGGGAGTGGAGGTATAGCTCCTCTCTTCCTTGACCTCGGCACTAGATGGGGGTGAGTGGTCAGCATCACGCCCCGGCCGGCTTTACCCCCGGGAAAGGACCCCGGTACCCATTGTAGAGGAGGCTGGGTGGGCCCCAGAGCCGGTCTGGACGCAGAGACTAGAAGAAAAATCCTCTGCCCCCATGTTCCTTCATTTATCAGCAGATACAGAAGCTGTCCAAGATGAAAAGTGATACCTGTATTCCTTGAAACATATCTTTTATAAACTCCTGCCTTTCTGGGGTGATTTTAATCCCATAAAATTGCTGAAAGAACTCAGTTTCATAAACCTTTTTATCATTTGTACCCTCTGCACAAAGATACCAAGTTTAATGCCTTCATTTCAAAACTGTCAATGTATGTAAAGAATTGACTTCAATTTGTTTCACCAGTAACTTTCCTTATACATGACATTGTTTAAAGTTCTAATTCTGGATGAGATTTGCTTCAGACCAACTACAGATTGTGTTTGTGGAATTACAATTCATACATTTTAAATAACATCAGATGTTAAACAATTTGTTTCAATACTGATATGCATTGTGTCTGGAATTGAACTGAAACCCACTTGCAAAACAGTTTGTAATCCCTGCATTATTTCCATATAGCGTGGAATATAACACAACTTAAATAATCTTTATAAGTCAATTAAATTGTGATATATCAAAATATGAACATAAACCATTTGTGACTGAATAGAAACTGGATGGAAACAGACAGGAATGAAGACCACTGAACAAAGGGGCTTTATATATAAGAAAATTACTACTGTGAAGCAAAAAATTCTTTTAAAACATGTTCCATGTTGTCTGGCAGAAGAAACTGACCGAAGAGTCAGAGGACCTTACTGCCTTCACCATCAGATCAAACGTCAAGGTCGAATAACAGTTATCCTTGTTACCGCCTGAGGCACTGCTATTAAAACTGCTGTTATGTTTACCGCCCCCCGACGGATGGCAGCACAATATAAATAAACAGCCAAGCCAAACTAAAGCGCGACTATATCAAACAATTCGCCTGTGATAAGTTGAATGAAAATAATTTAGCATAATGAACATTGCTTTTCTTCTTATTAAACGGCCAATGATTTTGTCCCTCATTAGAAGTCAAGGGTGGAAGCAACTAGTTGGACAAGTTTCCCTATAGTGCTGCCATCTACCATCTACACGGCAATAAGAAATTACGTGTGTGTGTGTGTGTGTGTGTGTCGTTAGATCTATATATATCCCCTGCCAGTTTGTGAAATTGCGTATATAGAAAGTAACAACTGGAGTTGAGCAAAGTGAAACATACTACGAATAAGTTTGGTTGTT